CATCTTTTTTGTTATTTGGACCGATTTGGTCGACATTTCTGAAATATAGGAAATGTCGACCGAAATAATGTAATTTTTATATTACCATCCATTTTCATGTCGGTGAACCTCGACATTGACATATGTCGGGCGACATTTGTCATTTGCCGACATTTGAAACCATGCCTGTCACCCATCCGTGGAAAATTAGATCATCGTGCTATTCCTAGAATCTTCTTGGGGTACCCTACAAATCAAAAAGGGTACCATTGCTTTGATTTCGTTTCTCGAAACTATCATGTTTCTATGGGTGTCTCCTTTTTTGAGAGTGAACCTTTTTTCTTGTTTCTCCTCAGGAGCATTGTTTTAAAAGTGCAATGCACAAAAAAACACAAGGGTCAATTTGCACACGAGGCACAAGGCGCAAGGTAAGGCGCACGCCTTTTTAAGCAAGGCACAAAATTACAAAAAAAAAGCTAAAAATTAAAAAACGTTAGAAAATTCATAAAAAATGCCAATTTTTTTAAATGCAAAAAAAAATAAAAAATATTAAACATAATGTTAATAAAAAAATATAAACTTAAATTTTAAAATAAATGTTTTAAAAAACCTATTATCTAAAATTAAAATACATAAACATAACCAATAAAGCATTTTGAAGCATGTAAAACCCACAATTTCTTTTTTTTCCTTAATTGCATAGCTTCAAGTAGCTAATGTGATGTAAAACATATTGCATTCTTGATTCTATGAGTCGCTTTTGTACTACGCCCCTCGAGGCAAGCCCAAACAAGTCTATGTTAGGGTCTGAAATTCTTATTTCTCACATAAAAATAATGATTTTATAACTTTCATTGCCTTTTAAGAAGATATTTCATTGCAATGAATGAATGTACAACATTAGCAAATAGGGGGTGCGCCTGGGCTGAGGCGCAAGGCGCATCAGGCGCACCTGAAAGGGGTGCGCCTAGGACCTGGGCAAGGCGCATACCCAAAATGCGCCTAGGCGCGCCTTTTAAATCACTGCTCAGGAGGAGTTTAGGCATGAGTACAAACAGGTTCAGCTCCCTCCTCTACCTGATCTTCCTCCCTTCTCTGTTTTTTATCATCCAAAAGCCAACCAAGTTCAAGAGCTGTGGAGCATCTAGAAGTTGTACTACCAATGCCATCAATTTCTCCGAGGATGGATCCTACCCAGCTAGTACCTTAGTTCCCATTGATATTTTTGACCCGATTGCTATTGATACCTCCAGTTCTGATGATCTTGACCTTCCATTTTGCTCACCGGAAGGGTGTTAGGTCTTGCACCACTAAGCACCCCATTTCCCATTTTGTTTCCTATGAAAACATTTCACCTTCCTTTCGGATATTCCTCTTTTCCATTGACAATGTTCCGATTTCTACTCCTAAGAATGTGGCAGAATCCCTCTCGGCGCCTGAATGGATAGATGCAATGAAGGAAGAAATTAATGCATTGCATAAAAATGGTACATGGGAATTGGTGGATCTTCCTAAGGGAAAAGAACCAGTTGGATGTAAATGGGTTTTTACAATGAAACATAGGGTTGATGGCACAGTGGAGAGGTATAAAGCTCGTCTAGTGGCAAAAGGGTTCACTCAAGTGTATGGGGTGGATTATGTAGAAACTTTTACACCAGTTGCTAAAATGAACTCCATTAGGGTTCTTTTCTCTTTAGTTGTTGGCTTCGGTTGGGACCTTCACCAATTGGATATCAAGAATGCATTTATAAATGGTGATCTTGAAGAAGTGTACATGGTACAACCCCTGGTTTCTGGGCTCAAGGTAATGAACAAAAGGTATGTAGGTTGAAAAAGTCATTATATGGCCTGAAACAATCACAAAGAGCTTGGTTCAACAGATTCCAGGTAGCTGTACAACAAAAAGGCTACAAGCAATGTCAATTTGATTATACATTGTTTGTGAAAAGAGGGGAAGGGAAAATTGTAGCCTTAATAGTGTATGTTGATGATATAGTTATCACTAGTGATTAGAAAGATGAAATTCAAAGATTGAAGGGATTTCTTGCTATTTAGTTTGAGGTGAAAGATCTAGGTCCTTTGAGATACTTCCTTGGAATTGAAGTTGCCAGCTCACAAAAGGGTATCTTCATTTCTCAGAGAGAGTGTGCCCTAGATCTGTTACAGGATATAGGAAAATTGGGAGTGAAACCCGTTGATTCTCCTATTGATCCTAATCACAAATTAAGTGATTGTCCAGGTGAATTCATAAAAAAATGTGAAGCAATTTCAGAGGCTGGTAGGAAGACTGCTATATCTTACCATGACTCGGCCAAACATTGCTTATGCAGTGGGTGTTCTTAGTCAAATCATGCATGCCCCTAAGACCACCCACCTTGAAGAAGCTGAAAGAATTCTCAGATATCTTAAGAAATTCCCAGATGCAAGTTTATTGTTCCAAAAGCACGAGCATTTGAAGGTTGAAGTGTATACTGTTGCAGATTGGGCAGGATCACTGGATGATAAGAAGTCTACCAGTGGCAGTTGTACCTTTGTGGGAGGAAACCTAGTCACATGGAGAAGCAAAAAGCAGAATGCTAGGTCTAGTGTTGAAGCTGAATATAGAGCAATGTCTCATGGAGTGGCTGAAATAATGTGGCTAAAAAATCTGTTGAGTGAGCTAGGATTTACAGTTGATGCACTTATGACTTTATATTGTGATAACAAGGCAGCCATAAACATTGTTGTTAACCTAGTACTGCATGATAAAACCAAGCACATTGAGGTAGAGAAGCATTTTATCAGAGAAAAGGTTGTCAAAGGGGAATTGTGCACCCCTTATGTCAGGTCCAAAGATCAACTTGCGTAAATCTTCACAAAAGGATTTCATCATTTGCGGCACAATGATCTATGTAACAAGTTGGGCATGATTGACATTTATGTCCCAACTTGAGGGGGAGTGTTAAAAGGTTGTTTATAAGTGGTGTTCTTTGTTTTTTATTTCTGATTAGTGTCACGGGGGTACTATTGTAATTTCCCCTTCTTTATGTTATGTTATGGTCCGCCCTAATATAAATACAAAAAAGCTGGCGGCAATTTTTGCTCTAAGATCTCTTTTTCTCCTCTCTCTCTCTCTCTCTCTCTTTCTCTCTTCTCTCTTCTTTTCACTTCCGCTGCTAGACAAGAAAAGGATTTTTTTTTTAAACAATTGTAAGGCCAGCTATGCTGCATGGAGCAAAGTGTTGGGCAATCAAGAAACATGTCCAAAAAATGAATGTGGCAGAAATGCTTATGCTAAGGCGAATGAGTGGAAAAACTAAAAAGGATAGGATGAGAAATGAAGTCATTCAAAGAAACCTACGAGTAGCTCCAATAGGTAATAAAATAAGAAAAGTAATCTAAGATGGTTTGGTCATGTGCATAGGGCTTGGGACAACCTACAACTCCCGTGAGAAGAAGAAATCTGTTACAAGTTGAAGGGACTGTAAGGGGTAGGGCAAACCAAAAACATGGGTTGGACTGGTAAGAAATGATCCAAGCACTCATAATTTAGCAATGGATATGGCATTAAACAGAACAGAATGACAAAACAGGATTCATGTAGCTGACCCCATGTAGTTGCATGAAGGCTTAGATGATGATGATGGCATATCCTATTTAGGAGTGATCATTTTCAGCTCACAAATTTCCGGGCTTGGGCCTAGGCAATGTGGGACACAGGACAACACTCAAATGTTAGAATGAAAGCAAGATGTAAGAATAGACAACCATGTGCTGAAGTCCACATGTCTTATGTTATAGGCCCAAAGCCAAGCCAAGCATGGCCTAGCTTGGGCCCATGCAACATTTTTTCTTTCATGCGTCATACATGCTTTAATATAAAATATTATAAATATTTATTTTTTTTATTTGATGGCATAGGCCCAAAGCCTGGCCTGGCATATAGCCCTTATCATAGGTGCTAAGCCTGACCCAGCCAATGATCACTCCTAATTCTGTTCCCCCAACTGGACAGTTCTAGTCCAACAGTCTTTGCCTTAGGTGGACAAACGTGGTTCTTCACTCAAGGACTTGATCATAGCTTGGACATTTAATAGCCCAAAATTTTTAAATGGGTGATAAAAAAAGCTTCTTGAACATAAATATAATGCTGTATAAAAAGGACAAAAGCAAATGTTATTCTATTGTTTACTACCCTATACATGACTACACCTAATATGTTCAAACTATATACAGAATCTTTTTTAGAATGTGTTGACATGTTTAAGACCTAGAGATCAATCTGTGGGGTAATTGCTTGAAATTTGAATTTGAATCTAAGGCAGTGAGTTCTCCATTGTTTCAAAAATCCTCCAGTTCTCTTCTTTCCAAAATACTCTAGCAGGTAGTAGAGGGCCTAGAGGCCAGGCCTAATTAACTACACAAACTGAAACTGAGCCAAGTGAGTGTTGAGCAAGTAAAATACTCCCAAGGGAGGTGGAGAGGGAACTGAGGTAAAAGTGATCTCTGCTCTTTTCCCTTCATGCAGAGGCATGGCATGCTATGTAGGCAGCTAATTTACAGACTAGTTTGGTTCTTGCACTTTCATGTGGTTAATTTTTTAATCAGCAATATGCAGTAGCATTTTGACCTGTCAATTATTCATCTGAATTATTTATCATACTCAAAGAGGCCATTATGGTGCGTGCATGGCATGCACTGACATGCTTATGCCCTGACTTGTTGCTAGCTCTATGAACACCCAGAGCCATAAGCGTAACACATGCAATGCAGCATGTGCTTCAGTGCTAGCAGCTAGTTTCAAGAAAGGCACCTCTGAATTGGTGGGACTCGTATTTGTGTTAATAGAAGTATCTATATGATCTTTTCTTTGTAAAAGTATCTATGATCTTCATATCCTAATAATGATTGTACTTTTTTGTGAATAACATTTATTTGTAGTATGCTCAATGCAGGATGGAATTGGACTGTATTTTTTTCTAGTAATTTAGTTTATATATAGAGATTACTGATGGGAACTTTGCAACTATGGTGTGTTGCAGGTACTTGACTCGACTGTTGAACCAAGCACTACGAGTGCACCATGTGAGCCAGTGAGTACAGGTGATCCAAGAAATGGTAAAGCATGTGAAGAACTTTCATTTGGACTAGGAGAAATAAGGATT